CAATCAGTTTGCATGCTTTAGTTAAGGCTAACATTAGATTTTACAGTGTATATAACAATATGAAAAAATACCAAAATATATAAAAAAAAAAAAAAAAAAAATATATATATATAGGAAAAATTTCACATTGCAATCAAACAATGAGTCAAGAAAAAAATTTGTAGTAGATATTACTTCTGCTTCCAATGTCACAGTAGAAATGCACATTGCATTGTGGGATACTGTATTGATGATATGCAGAGCCTTCTATTCATGCCTTTTTCATTCTTTTCTAGCGCTGGAGAATCCCATCAGTTTCCACCTAAACCTCTGAGAGAGTCTCAGAGCCGACTGCTGAATAACGGACAGTCAGAAGGAAGTGAAGACAGAGACAAGCGAGGTGATGCATCACATCTGAGATCAATACAAAACACTGCTAATTTGAGTGTTCTGTGTTCCTTGACTAGAGATATAAGATAAATTTGCAGCTATGAATGTGTATTACAATGTGGTCAAACAACATGGTGCTCAGTCCGTATTTTTCTAACAGGTACGAGCAACCCAGCCTTGACTATTGAGAAGGAAACTTAGGAGCGCGTTAATGAAACAGGTTTGTTACTTTTGTGTGTACTTAGTGCTATAGCATATGACTTATTTTCAGATAGTAAAACTTTGAAGTATTTCAAAATTACAATAATGTAACATACACTACCGTTTGGGGTCAGTTTTGACCTCTAATGCGCTCCAAGTCTTCATCGATTTGATTAAAAATACAGAAAAACAATAATATTGTGAAATATTTGTGATACTTTTTTTCTGGATTCTTTTAAGAATAGAATGTTCAAAAGATCAACATTTATATCAAATGGAGATATTTTGAAACATTTTAAACATTTATACATGTCTTTACCATCACTTTTAATTAATGTTATGCATCCCTGCTGAATAGAAGTATTAATATATATATATATATATATATATATTAATACTTCTATTCAGCAGGGATGCATAACATTAATTAAAAGTGATGGATTACATTACATTATATTATTGGAATCCCTGAATGTCTTAATAGCTTCTTCTAAATGAACTGACTTTCTTTCTCTAGGAGTTTAGTGCTAGTGATGTCTGTTGTCAGTGGAACAGTGAGGACGTCTCCACTGCTCTTGCACAGACTTGCAATGCCCATCAACTCTCTACCTAATGAGTTGTGATCCTTCACAAGAGCTCACAGTGCAGGATTATGCTGTGTACTGTACATATATGAAGGGCCACAGAGTCTCTCGTCCTTCTTGCAAACTGTATGGCTATCTTAACGTGCCTAAAGATGCCCACAGATGTGGCTGAACATTTGGTAACATTACCGTGGTTCCTGCAAGACCCACATTTTTAAAAATGTAGAAGTTTGTATGGTAAATGCCTTGAATATAGCTTGCGTGGTGTAAGCAGTGCTGAAGAAGGTGGCGTTTTTGTTAGTCTGGAAAATGTGAAGTATTTATGCATGCTGTGTGATGGTGGTACGTAGTCGTTTGTCATGTTTGAAATGTGAGCAATGAAAAGCCCAAGTGCTTTTGCACTAGACTTCCTCAAATTTTACCGTTTTTGATCCTGTATTGTTGAAATGCAGCAGCATCTCTTCATTTTATTCATTACCATACAGATACATTTGCACATCGTGACTATAATCTGTTTTATTTGACAAAGTGTCAGTGAGGATCTTGTCCATCACATTTAAGTCTGGATCCCAGCTGTCATGAATTTTGCAAAGGTCATACACAGGCAAAATGACTGATGTAGCAAATATTTTAGGCCATTTTTAACACTGGATATTCAGACAAAAACACTGTTTATTCAAGTTTTTACCTGACAAGCACAGGGAAGACAAAACTACTCTATATGCACTTTGAACAGCGCTTAAAGCTGCAAATTATTTCAATTTTTAAATCGTCTTTGTCCTGATGTTTTCATGATGGTTCTGTCGAATCAAGTATGCAAAGTATATGATGTATTGTGTTAACTCCATATACATTATTACACTGCAGCTGCAGAGAATATTTCACCATTAATAGTCAGTGTATTTGATTATTCCGAACATTCTTTTCATAACCGTTTGCACAATTAATGCAAAACTTAATAAAGATGTGCTTTTGTATCACATCTGATTTATCCAAGGGCTCTGATAATGTACTTACTACCGTATTTCTTGTCTCAAGTTTGATTCAGCAGTTATTGCATGTAAATGTAAACGTACTTGTAATTGATTTTGACTGAGGCATGAACAAAACCTCAGAAATGCCAAGACTTGTGGTGTGTTGTCTGTTTTGTAGTTTTTATGGAAATGTCTGTTGTTTATTTTGTGATTAGGTTCACACACCACATTAAAAATAAACTGTGATACAAGATTTCTACTGGTTCTTATGTGTATGTAGACCAGCTGATTGTTGTTGCTGCTTTTGTTTTTTTTGAGAGTATGTAAAATTCTGCTGGCTATCTGTGTTGGTAGCTTAACGTGTTTTCATATAAAGTATGACAATGCCATTGAATGATATGCCTTGATGAGTGTTACTGTAACAGAAATAAAGTGATATTTTATTAAGTGCTACAGTGTTGTTTCGATATTGTTTCAAACTGTGTTACAGCACTATATTTATAGCATCTGTCCATTAAAGGAGTAGTTCAGCCAAAGATGAAAATTTGCTGAAAATGTACTCCCCCCTCAGGGCCAGCCAAGATGTAGAAGAGTTTGTTTCTTCATCGGAACTGTGAAATTATTGTAATGTTTTCATCAGCTGTTTGGACTCTCATTCTGACGGCACCCATTCACTGAAAAGGATTCATTGGTGAGCAAGTGATGTAATGCTCAATTTGTCCAAATCTGTTCTGATGAAGTAACAAACTCATCTACATCTTGGATGGACTCCTAAATTTTCAGCATATTTTCATTTTTTGGGTGAACGATTCCTTTAGGAATGGTGCAATAAAACTTTAACACAGCATAAACCTATACAGATTTTGGATATGTTAGAAAAATCAGGCTTTTATTTCCAAAAGCTCTAAAAACATATCGCATAATACCAATGTGGATACTGTACATATCAAGATGATAGACAAAGGAGGAGGTAGGTTAAGAGCTACCCAAATCATCATTCACCAAATCAGACAAAAAAAAAAAAAGGGGACAAGCTGTATTCATGCGATTCACATATCTTTAAAAGCTCAGATTAGTTAACACAGCAAACAGCATTTATTCAAATGTTTCAGTACATGCAGCAGATCTAGGCAACACAGAATTGTAAAGAAATACAATACCAACAAAAAAAAAGAGGAAAATGGAGGAAAAACCCAAACAGCACAAAATGTGCACCATTCAAAAACCAGCACTACAAGTAAAACTAATTCCACTGATACCGAGTACTTGACTTGGCTAAGATTTCTTTTAAGAGGCATTATTTCTTAAATGAATAAAAGGCTTTGAACTTCTTTGATACTAAAATACTACGAAACCTTTAAATCTCTTTTAAAAGTGAAAATGGAAAGACAACCTTGATCCAGAAGTATGAGGTGACCTCAGTTCACTTAAATAGTGGCAGTTACATCATCACTCTTAATTTACTTGTGTGGTAAAATCTGTGCTAACCCAACATGAAGGGTAAAAATCAGTGCAAGGCTTTGCTTTACAATTAAGTGCCTGTATTTACCTGTGTCTGTGAGATCCTCCATCTGCCTAAAGCTATTGCGAAGAGTGAGAAATCAGTACTCCTGTGATCAGGGAAAGACAGTTCATGTAGGTTACTGGTGTACACAACCGTACACGAGAAGAAACGAATGCAATAAATTAACGATTAAAAAAAGAACATAAAAAGTAGCTTAATATTAAGTCTGAGCTGTGAGGGGGGGAACTAAAACACCAAATGGTTCCTCCTCTTTAACCATAAAAGATGAACATTGTGTGAGAAGATTTAACCCAGAGAAGGCAACAAAGGGAAGAAGTTTTTTTTTCTGATGGATGGGAGCTTTAAAGTGCAAAATCCTATCAAACAAAACAACAACAACTAAAAACCCATGTTTTGAGCCCTGTATATGAGGTTGTTCATGGTGAGGGATTCTTGTTGTGTCATGACTGCTGCTTGTTTGCCTCCTCCTCGTAAGCGTTTCCGGTGCCGTTCTGGACATAGGATGAGCCTGAACCCAGTCCATACAAGTGACCACAATACTTTGCATCATCAATGTGATCCTCAAAAAACATCTGCAATGACAACGATGCTACAGTCAGTACAAATGCTGCATTTAGTGCCAATTTAAAAGGTTTTCGTGATATTGAATAAGCATAGCACTTTGATGATTTTTTCTTTTTTTCATCTCAAGGCACACCTCTCTCATCTTGAAGAAAGCCATTCCTGTGAGGAGTGACACTACAAGTAAAACTAATTCCACTGATACTGAGCACTTGAGTTGGCTAAGATTTCTTTTAAGAGGCATTATTTCTTAAATGAATAAAAGGCTTTGAACTTCTTTGATACTAAAATACTACGAAACCTTTAAATCTCTTTTAAAAGTGAAAATGGAAAGACAACCTTGATCCAGAAGTATGAGGTGACCTCAGTTCACTTAAATAGTGGCAGTTACATCATCACTCTTAATTTACTTGTGTGGTAAAATCTGTGCTAACCCAACATAAAGGGTAAAATCAGTGCGAGGCTTTGCTTTACAATTAAGTGCCTGTATTGACCTGTGTCTGTGAGATCCTCCATCTGCCTAAAGCTATTGCGAAGAGTGAGAAATCAGTACTCCTGTGATCAGGGAAAGACAGTTCATGTAGGTTACTGGTGTACACAACCGTACACGAGAAGAAACGAATGCAATAAATTAACGATTAAAAAAAGAACATAAAAAGTAGCTTAATATTAAGTCTGAGCTGTGAGGGGGGGAACTAAAACACCAAATGGTTCCTCCTCTTTAACCATAAAAGATGAACATTGTGTGAAAAGATTTAACCCAGAGAAGGCAACAAAGGGAAGAAGTTCTGTCGGATGGGAGCTTTAAAGTGCAAAATCCTATCAAATCCTTCATGAAAAACAAAACAACAACTAAAAACCCATGTTTTGAGCCCTGTATATGAGGTTGTTCATGGTGAGGGATTCTTGTTGTGTCATGACTGCTGCTTGTTTGCCTCCTCCTCGTAAGCGTTTCCGGTGCCGTTCTGGACATAGGATGAGCCTGAACCCAGTCCATACAAGTGACCACAATACTTTGCATCATCAATGTGATCCTCAAAAAACATCTGCAATGACAACGATGCTACAGTCAGTACAAATGCTGCATTTAGTGCCAATTTAAAAGGTTTTCGTGATATTGAATAAGCATAGCACTTTGATGATTTTTTCTTTTTTTCATCTCAAGGCACACCTCTCTCATCTTGAAGAAAGCCATTCCTGTGAGGAGTGAGTCAGAGCCTGCCTGATGCTGAGGTCCAATTCTCTCCAGCTCAAGCTGCTCTGCTACCTCCTGCAGACCGCCCTGCACATCACATGACAGAAATCAGGCACAGATTCCTTCTATTCACACAGACTGCTACAAATTAGAGTAACCACTGATATAAGTCACAGCAAATGCTGCAGTGATGACAGTAAAAAAAACAAAAAAACAGTGTGATGCAAAATGAGATCTACAATGCCTATAAAAAAAAGCATTCACCCCCAGTTTTCAGGTTTTTACAATAACACTGAACCACAGAAAATTTGATTTAGATTTTTTATGTGCTCATTACCCAAAACATGTCAAAGTGAAAATATAACTTGTGATGATCTATTGCACTATGCAAGTATTTAAGTCAGTAATTAGTATATGCATCTTGGGCAGTGATAATTAGTCTTAGGTTTAGTCTTGGTACTAGTCTTGGGTTTATAAAGATACGTATCAGTCAGTGCTGTTATCTTTTAACTAAAACTAATTAAAAAAGAATGAATTAATTATTTTTTATTACAATTATTATTTAATTAATTATTAATTAAATAATAATCGTAATAAAAAATTATTACAATTATTATTTAATTAATTATTAATCATTATTATTAATTAATTCAAAATAATTTTCAGTAACTGAAATAAAGCTCAAAATAAAACATTAAATAAAAAAACTTTAAAAATTTAAACTAGAAATGCTTCCTTGCCAATTAACTGAAATAAGTTTAAGTACTAAAACTAAAACGGAGGTAACATTTTTTTTTAAATAAAGCTAAATATAAATATGTTAAGCTAATAAAAATGACAAAAGCGAATACATTAAAATATAAACTGAATATAAAAGATAATTTAAAATAATAATATTTTGTTATTTTTGGTTGTTTGTTTTTTGCTCCTCAGACTAGTCTATTTAAAGATTTTTAATCTATTTAAAGCTAAATAGAAATATTAAAATGAATAAAATTGACAAAAGCACAATATTACTAAAACTAAAATGAAAATATAAAAATAAAAATGAATACATACTGTAACAGCATATATATAAATAATACTAAAATCACACTGATCAATTCTGAATATTTGTGATATATACATTTAAAAAAAAAAATGAAGGGATTATTGTAGATCATGTCTTTTTCATTTTTGAGTACTTTTCTGTTGTTCAATGGACTCATCAAAAAAAAAAAGACTCTAGGCTATAAAATACTGATGAATAAGTCCATGAGTGTGTAAATACTTTGCAAAGCCTGTATTTAATGCATTTAAATGCTAAAATACCTTCAAGTTCTTACAGCTCTTCATGAGGTATTTCACATCATAAATGATGGGAAAAAATAAACGAAGAATCTCGAAGAAGTCAACCTCTTCATCTGGCAATTTTGAGTTGGACAAAATTTTAATCAGGTACCCAAAGTCATAGCCACTGTTCGGAAAAGAGACAAAAATTAGCTTGAAAATAGATTGTATAATTCATTGAACCACAGTTTTAGACGTGTACTATAAGCAAGCACAAAAGACATTTTTAAACACTACTGTACATTTTCTTCCACTTTTAATGGAGTTGTGGTTTGAATCACCACTGAAACACTTGTGTTCATTTCACTATGTGAATATTACTGTAAGATTACCTATGGAATGAGAGCCACTTGACCCCCTCACAAAGCACCACACCTGAGGTCATAAGCAGCTCAGCAAAGTACAGTGTCTCAATACCCTCTTCCTCATGCTTCTTAAACTGGATACCTGACGAGGTGAGCAACTCAATGGAATCCTGTGCATACATATCTTCCCTGCAAAAGACAGTACCGTTGGTGTAATGTCCAGCTTTCATAAAGAATCACACTGATGGCTATGGATACACCTGAAGACAAGAAAAGTCATCTTGTCATATGTTTTCAACATGGACTTATGTACATAAAAGTGAGATCATGGATTGATGCGTTGCTGTTGAAAATATGTGCCATACCTCTTAAATGACAAAAGTGGAATGCTTACGTGAGGTTAAATTTGAAGTTGAACTGCCATGTCGACGTCCCTGGAGGGTATTCACCCAGTTCGTTCATAAATGTAAGGCCAAGCTGGATGATCTTTAACAAGTCAACATTACACCGCAGCAGCTGGTACTGGTAATCAGCATTGCTTCTAAATTCACCGATTGGTCTTGCAACTACACCTGGAAACTCTGTGTCCTACAAATGCAACAACATGCATCATGGTTGTTATGGATATTTGTATATTTATCAGTATAAAAAGGGTTTTGTTCAGACAGACAGGAAATATCTGATTTTTGGCATATCATATAATAAGTATCGCTTTTTATGTATCCTCTTTCCTAAGTCGCTTTGGATAAAAGCGTCTGATAAATGACTAAATAAAATATCAGACTAAAAATCTCTTTAAATAAAGTCTGTACAGCATTAAGAAACACATGAAATATGTTTGTTTTCGTTTTGGTTTAAGTTTCAGGAACTGTGTTATGTGCTTCTGTAATTTTCATTAGTTTAAAATACTTTTATTTAGCTTTAATCTATTTTTACTCCAGTATTCATTTTCATAATTTTAGTGCTTCAACTTAACCTTATTTCAGTTAGCTGCATTTTTACATTTTTGTTCAAGTCTTTTAAGTTTACGTTTTACAAAATGTTTTATATATA